AATGACGACATCTTTTGCAGTACTCTATTTCAAATGTATTCAAAATGACATAACACTCCTGATGTGGCATGTATGAAATAAGTAGGAAGTAAATTGATGCAGGCCTGCAGATAAAAACACATATCGTCAGATTTACGTTATGTTGCTGAGTGAATCTGAGGATAAATATTGAACTTGATATAAACTGTAAATAAAACAATGATTTTGACACGTCATGTACATAAATCAGCTGTGACAAAGAATGATAGTGGGAAAGCATAACTGCAATTTCTATTGGGCGATTCATATGAAGATTTCAATATTTATTTGTTGTGTCTTTTAGCACCCTTGGCTCTTGACTGTCTTACAGAAGATGGAAAATGAGGTGAATAAAGAGACTCACAGATCTGACAACTGTCACTTCCTGGACCCCAACATGGCACGTCTCCACACGCTTCATCACAAGGCTCTGAGACATGATGTCATTATCAACACGTGTATTTTCATATTTTAAAGTTATTTCAAGTCTATTTTAAACTACCTCTCATTATACATATAAAGAGGTATTGGTTGCTTCAAAGTAAATTCAGAGGAAGAGATGTGAGACAAAATGATTGACCAATCACAACAGAGTGGGCCAGCTGGCCAATCAGAGCAGACCAGGCTTTATCAGGATGAGGGCTGTAAAGCTAAGTGTTTCAGACAGTGACTGAAAAGAGGAGCTCGAGCAATCGACAGAATGAGGAAGTTATTTCTGAACATTAGATCATGTAAACCTTTTCAAGTTATAAACCATTTAAAATGATAAACCCCGAGTAGAAGCATGACATGTCTCCATTAAGATTGACTTAAGAAAGTGTGAAGTCATCATAAAGGTGGCTCATGCTCATGTGTGATAACCATCCTCTCCACTCACTTTCAGGCCCGTTGCCCTCGATGAAAACCTGAGTTGTTGCATCCTTCACAATTTCCAGCCAGTTCACCTGCGGGGCATAGCTCAGGTACTTATTCTGGATGATCATGACTCCTCCCTTCAGTATCTCTGTGGGAGGCACACAAGCATGTTAATGGGCGAAGAAAAATTAGCGAAGCAAGCCCAAACAGGTCCATGACTCATCCTATCACACTCCACTGTGCGCTGTTTACTACAGCACATACAAACTCAGTATTATGAGCTGGAGCTTGTGTTACAGTGGCGGTTAAGAGACTGAACTCATGAGACATTCCAGTGACTTCACATCACAGAGACTGCACACACGTCCGCTCTCTGACAACCAGTACGATGAAGGTGTGGCTGCACTGTGTGGGCGTGGGAGCTCCCATCTTTACATCCAACCAGAGCTCTTATCTGCACCACTCCAGCTTCCCTTAAATAACACTCATTCACTAGAACTGAAGGACGTCTTGTGTACCTGTGAGGTGTGTCAGGCCCAGTTCTTGAAGGCCGTACTGCCCATCCTTCTGGTAGTTGATCATCACAGCCAGAGCATACGTGCTGTTGTACAGCATGTTGCCTCTGATAACGCGCAGCTGGTCCAGAGGCAGGCGGTTGAAATTGTTAAGGGCCAACAGGACGTAGCCTGTCACCTCCCTGATAGACTGTGGTATTAGAAAAAACATGTGAAAAAGACAGTACATTAAATAGAGTTGTTTTATTTATCAGAATGATCACTACCTAGCAGTAGATGAGTGTTTGACCTGTGTCGTAAGTCACCATAACAGACTTAATGTTAAAGACATAAATGAGCTAATTGTTCTTGTGAGACAGATCCGTCATCCTCTATGACAGGGATTGCTTTGGTCTTAACAGTCTTGTCTGGACTCAGTTCTCAGTGACGTATGCAGTGACACATATTGTTGTTTAATAGGGGAGATTGATTCACTGTGTTCTAAGCTTCACCTGCAGGAAGGAGAAGTCTCTGGTGTGCTCCATCATGCTGATCTCTAGGTTTCCCATCAATATCTCACAGCCGGTGTAAAGCTTCTTCAACTGGTTGTGATGATTCTCAGAGTTTCCTGACATACTCAGCATGTTCTGCGTGCCGAAACAAACTGGAAAAGAAAAGAAGGGAATTTTGGTCAACTCTCATCTGTCTTAAATGTCAACATGTCACATATGTACCCGAAATATAAAGAATGAGTCTGGTGATATGTGTGGAAGGTTAACAAAATCCACGAAGACTAAAAATCAACATTGACTTGATATTTTTCACAATTGTATGTTTTGATATTGATTGATGTAGAAATTCTATTTTCCCTCTTAACAGGCCTTAAATGTGCTTGCACCCAAAAACCATTCCGATGAACTGACCTGGTGCGCACCCTCCACTGAGATCCATGGATGGTGGTCTCCCCTTGTAACAGAGGGGGACCGATTGCAGCTTCTCTCAAACTTTTTCTCAAACTTTTTGTTTTTAGTTTAAGCTTTAACAAAATGATTGATATTACACAGACTAATCCTGATTATTTATTTTTATAAATTGTTATGAATATTGTCATATTTCCTCTGCTCATGTCCTATTGTTTTATTCTTATTGGTTCTTCCTTAAAGTTTGTATTTATTGTAATAAAAATGACATTGAGCCACAGTGACATGTTCCTTCATTAACATACTGTATGTGTGAGTGTAATACTATACATTTTGGAGCTAATTAATCCAAGGTCAACAAAAATACGGTCTGAAATACACTTTTTCCAGTCTCTTCAAAAATTAAAGAGTAGAGACACTTTTTAAAGATTATATTGATCTGAACATAATTCCACATTATATGATGTCATATGATGAGCGACATCAGGGCATTGAAGTCACCAAAGAAGACAGAAAATGACATCATGCATAGTTCACAAATATATTTTTCCAGATACTACTGCATCATATATAATTTATACATATGACATATGCAACCAAATTTAAGATTTTACAAATAAACCAGAATTACAGCACTAAAGATGTATGCCACCGCCGACCAGTGCACTTTCAGTCTACACACTTTTCAAATGACAATTTTAGATATCATGATTTGAGAGGCCACCATGGCCGCTGACCTTTGACTTTTGACACCTAATCAAATCTAATCAGCTAATTTGAGAGACCAAGTGAACTTTTGAAAGGATTCCCAGGAGGCGTTCCTGAGATTCCACATTCCCAAAACATTTTGAGGGGTGACAGCAATCTTGACTTCTGACCTCTCAACACAGATGTCGAATCATTTTTTTTTTTTTAAACCAACTTAATGGTCCCAGGTCCCATTCCTCCACCAAGTTTGGTGAAAACTGATTTAATCATTTTCTTGTAATCCTGCTAACTAACTAACTAACTAACTAACTAACTAACTAACTAACTAACTAACTAACTAACTAACTAACTAACTAACTAACTAACTAACAACCAGGCAT